TACGGGACCTTGTCACATCACTTATATACCGCTGACCTTGCGCACACTGATTACCACTTTTTCTAGCATTTTGACAATTTTTAAACCGAAAGACATTCCTTTGCCCAGAAGATATCGAAACTGCATTCAAAAATGTAACTCGATGGCAGAAATGTGTAGATATTCAGAGTTCCTGTTTTGACTGATTAAAACCCTGTTCAAATACATTCATTCAAGAATAAAAGTTGATTCTAAAATCGCACGTTATCTTCCGAATAACCTAATATTATTAGCTACTAGCAGTAGAGCCCGGCGTTGCCCGGGGATGTAACAGTAAGAGATAGTATCGACCATCATAAAGACTGAAAAATAAAATTGACAAAGATTATTGTTTAAGTTTGACGGATAAGCATGTCTTAATTATTATTATTATTTTTTTTAAGAATTGGTCAAACCCAAACTCAAACAAAAACATTGTTTTCAATCGTTATGAGTCTACCGATTGAATAGAATTTTATTATAAACAATTGTCTTGTAAATGGAATTTTAAAGCATTCTGAATGTAAAAATAAAGAGAAAGTCTGAAAGACAATAAGAAACACTACCTGTCAAAAAAAAGTGAAGTTTTGTTGAAATCAGTTGAAAAATGTAGGAAATCCGATCCCATATATAAGCGAACACACACACACACACACACACACACACACACACACACACACACAACCTGGGTTTTATAAGTATAACTCGATATGAGTTGTCCCCCTTTCATTCTGGCGATGCCTCTTAATCGTGTTTTGAAATTGATTTCGAGCAAAAACAATTGTGTTTTTCCAATTTTTGATGCCGTCAGAACCACCGGAAGATAATTTTACGTAGTCCTTTGAAGTTTTGTTGAAATTGGTTGAAAAATGTAGGAAATCCGATCCAATATATAAACGTACAAACACACACACACAGCCTGGGTTTATAATAAGTATGATGATAAAATACTAACATGAGGCCAACTCTTTCATTTATTATATTTTTTTAAAAGAATTTGGCATCCTTTAGCTAGATACTTTGAACAGACAAGCAGCAAATGGTTCAATTCTGCTTTATGACATTGCTTACCCAGTATGACACTGCAGAATCTCACCAAATTGGGATACGAGACTTTGCCACACCCACCATATTCCCTTGAACTCTTGCCGACTGACTACCCATTTTTTTAGTCATCTTGACAAACGTTTAAGCCAAAAGTCATTCTGTTGTAAAGAAGATCCAGAAAAATTATTCAAAGCCTTCTTGGCATCCAAAAATTTACAGTTTTATTGGAAAGTCATGAATAACCTTGTAATTCAAAGGCAGACATGTATAGATGTTCGGGGTTCCTATTTTAATTGATTAAAACAATTGATTCTAAAATTGGACATTATTAGCTGAACAACATAATAATAGTGATAACTGATGCTTTTCAAGAGGACATTATTAGATCAATATATTTGAAGAACCAAGAAGAATATCATCTTTCATACAAGGTTTTCAAATATCAAAATGTGTCGCTGTCGACACTTGAATTTGAACATAGAGCACCAGTGAGTAAACAAGGACGATCCCATTATTGAATTAAGTAGACCACGTGACCATTGAGGAAGTGTATATATGGGAGATAAGTGTATTTCTAACTGACCGCTATTTCTAGCCTATCCTCTATACTATAATGAAAATATTTTTGTCAAGAAACATCATTATTATTATACAACATTAAGGAAAATGATGTTTGTTAATGAACCATATACATAGTTGTAAATGATCAGCTCAATGGGAGGGCATAAAGTCAGAATTCATTACGAAACGTAAACTTGAAGGTTTTTGTTTTGCGATTTAAACTGTTTTTATTGTAACTTATTATAATAAAAATATTATGATAAAAATATTATAATACATACATACATATATATATATATATATATATATATATATATATATATATATATATATATATATATATATATATATATATATATATATATATATATATATATATATATGTAAGTGAACATTGAAGTAACACTAAGAGGCGACAGGACAGAGTGTTTTCATGCTGGACGCAATCGTCAGGCCGCGAATCCTGGATATTTCTTCGGCTATTTATCGAAAACCAAATAGGTTAAATAAAAAGATATACAATAAAAAAATAATACAAATTAATCTAAATAAATAAATAAATGAACAAATTAAGAAATCGCCCCCGCTAAAATAACCGTTAGAACTAGTAAAAATAAGCAAAAATAAGCAAAAACAAGTAAAAATAATCAATCGAAATAAATAAAGAACTGTCCACCCGCCAAAATAACAGAATAGACTGTGGCAAGCAATCTAAACACTGGACGAATAAATAGCTTTAATTATCTTCCCAGACCAAAAACATCAAAAAATGAAAAGAATAAATAATACAAAATGAAAAACAAGTAAAATAAATTAACCCAAACAAAAATATAAATAAATAAACAAACAAGGCACCCCCACAAAATTAACAGCCAAAATAGATTACCCACAAAGCACCACTGACCCATATATATATATATATATATATATATATATATATATATATATATATATATATATATATAAAATAACTTAGGAAATATCCATCATTCACGGCATGACGATTGTGTCCAGCATGAAACAGCCTGTCGCGTCTGAGTGTTGACTTCAATGTTCACTTTTATATTTATATTTACATACGATCTATCTCTGATATTGAGCACTTTATTACATAAATATAGCACATCATATCATAATCATATATATATATATATATATATATATATATATATATATATATATATATATATATATATATATGTGTGTGTGTGTGTAAAATAGACAATCGGCTAATAGTACTTAGTCCTTGGCAACCCATTTTGTCATTTAACTTTATCAAGGCAAGTGGTGATAAACAAAATCGAAATGTGGTGTAGTTACAGGAAATTCAAAAATTAAAAAAAAAAACGCTCCTGTGTAAGCCTCTGAATATTAGTAATTTTTTTAAATAAGTTTCAAAAGAATAAAAGTTCCTAATTTCCAAAAAGATGCTTAAACAGGAGCGTCTTTTGAATTGAATTTTTGAATTTGATATAATTACACAACATTTCGTTTTTGATTATCCTCACTTGCTTTGATAAAGTCAAATAATGAAACACGTCAACAAGAACTAAGTAATATTTTTCGATTGTCTATTTTATTCAATTTGTCATCTCTACATTTTTCTTGTTTTTAAGTTTTCTTCTTTTCAATACGTAATTAATGTAGAAATTGTCCAAATGTTTTGTATGTCCGAGCGCTTTCGGCTATACTTTCAGACAATATCTATTATGGTTTTATTTTTACTTTTAAATGAATGTATGGATTTCTATAACTACATTCCTAAAACTCTAGATACATACATAAAACAAATAAATTTACATATATATGTAAAAATTTCAGGGAGAATATATCTGTAAAAGGACAATACGAATAAAGACAAAAACATGACTTATCTTAGATGACACGTTTCGTCATCTGAGGTATTTTTTTTTTCAAGGCAAATGCAAGGATTTTATTTTGTAACAATTATTTAAAAACAAGAGAAAATTGTTGTTGTTTTTTTCAAATCGTGTAAATTTCAGAACGCTGATAAATCTTCATCAATTTAGACGAAAAGTCAGGAAATCTATGGAGGACATGAAGTGACACAATTAAATGTCTAATAAGCGAAAGTGATTAAATGGTATTCTCGAATTAGTATTTACATTCTTTTTGTTTGGGGATTAATTTTTGTTTTTATATATTTTAAATAACATAAGTCTGTGAATTTAAACGTTTTCTTTTGATTTTTTAACATTTTTATACGCATGTATTTTGTTTTGGGGAAATAGTAATTTCTTTCAGGAATGGAAATATTTGAAAATACTCGGAGAGTAGATTTATATTTTAAGAATTTTCCTTCTAAGTAAGTTACTTTCTCTTTTAATAAGTGGCATTATTCACGTCAAAATTGTGATTGAATTTATTACTATGTATAAAGAATGCATTTGATACATTGTTGTGTATAAGGTCCCTTTTGTGTTCATTGAAGCTTTTTTTTTAATTTCTGCATGTTTCATCAATGTACTATGAGGAACAATTATGTCAGTTTATTTTATATATACCTGCTTCTGAATTATCGTTATGGCTATTTTGGGCTCAGATCATATACATAATAGTTTTGGATATGGTTGTAATTATTATCTAAAAGGATTTATCAAATCTATGCAACATCATGTATGTCGTATATATAGAGATCAATAAAAACAAAAGGAAAACATATTTAAAGTGATGCATTTCGTTTTCTGATGGACATTATCAAGGCACTGGGCTTGGTTTATTCCATCGGCTAACATAGGTTTTGCTTTTGTTCATTTTCTATTTATCTATCTATCTATTGTAGTCTGATCATATTCTATCTATCTATCTATCTATCTATCTATCTATCTATCTATCTATCTATCTATCTATTATAGTCAAATCATTTTCTATCTATCTATCTATCTATCTATCTATCTATCTATCTATCTATCTATCCGTAACACATTTTGTTTTCAAATTAAGGAAATGTTGAAGTTGTATTTCTACAAAGTGTTTGTTCCTTTCCAAGACAAGGCCATATTTACACAAAAAACCATTTCCATTTCCACTTCGAACCATTCACTAATTTCACAATCTTATTACTTTAACGATGAACCTATTTATTTAGAAATGCACACACACACACACACACACACACACACACACACACACACACACACACACACACACACACACACACGGGCGCGAGGCCGCCCATAAACACACGCAGACTTACACCCATACACTTTTCACTTTTGTAATGTGTTTTGATCGAGTTTTTATATAAAGTTGAATTACAGTAACGTTGATCGAGAGAGAGAGAGAGAGAGAGAGAGAGAGAGAGAGAGAGAGAGAGAGAGAGAGAGAGCCTGAGGGAGAGAGGAAGTGATAGATTAAGGGATGAAAAGCGAGTGAGGTAGAGGGTAAGTAAATGAGAAGGAGAAATAGTGTGTGTTAATGAATGTTAGAGTGGGTGAGAGAAAGGGAAAGTGAGTAAAAGAGGAAGGAGGCAGGGAACGTTTATACTGAGAGTGAAAGAGAGAAAGAGAGAGAAAGAATGTAGGAGAGAAAAAGATAAATAGGAATTTAGTGTGAGAGAGAAACTTAGAGTAGGTGAGATTGAAAGAGAGAGAGAGAGAGAGATAAACAGAGAGATATGGCGGTAGGGAGTGAGAGTGGATTAGATGTGAGACTGAGTAATAGTCACAGAGAGAAAGCGATAAAAAACTAAAAGAGAAAGGAGGAGGAGAGTGAGTTATTGAGAATGAGAGAGGAATTACAAATGAAAGAAAGAGTGTGAGTGAGAAAGGTAAAGAGAGAAAAGAAGAGAGATGAAGTGAGTAAGAGTAATAGAGAGAATGAGAGGAAAAAAAAATAAAAAGAATGCGTGTTTGTGTATGAACGAATTGTTTTTCTGACCTACGAATTTAAATATTGCTAAATTCATTTTAAATATGCAAAGTTCCGAATTGTTAACTTGAAAGAGAGGAAAAAATAATGAAGATTTCGAATATTCAATTTCATTTGATTTCATTTTCGCTTTTCTCTCTCGTGTCCTGGGTATAACGATAAACTGCATCCGGAAGCAAAACATCTGATCGGGAGATTGGAGCTTTTGGGAAGCGTGGAACCACCTCTTAATTACTATTGTTCCCGGGTTCAACCTTAATCGGAGTGGTAGCACCTGTTAGGGGGTCTCAGCTACGGGCAAATTAGTGAATTCCCAAACAAAAACAAAAATACGAAAAAATATACAAATTCATTTTTATAGTAAAATTACTGGCAATGCATTTTTTATATAAAACACATTACCAACAATATATATTTATAGTAAAATTAGCAATGCAATTTTAAAGCAATACATTTTATAGCAGAATTTCTAAGAATACATCGATAGCAAAATGTTCAACTATTCATTTTAGCTGTAGTTTAAGCCATACAATTACGTCCAATATATATTTAGTTGAAGCCATACAATTGTGTTGAAAATATTTAGATTTCGTTATTAAATAACCCATAGAGGTGTTGATATGACGCTAAACAAAATAAACCAAACTAACGAAAATTTCTGTCAAATTTTACTTATTCGAAATCGTCATCTGATATTCATATATATATATATATATATATATATATATATATATATATATATATATATATATATATATATATATATATGTTTATTGTGTGTGTGCGTGCGTGTGTATATGTGTCTGATCAGTTCTTTCTAATGGTTATCGTTTTGCATTTCCCTCAATTCTGATCGTAGGTAATTCAGATAATTCCCTCAGGCTATGTCTGATTCTATTTTCGCTATCAAAACAGTCCAAGTTTATTTTTCAAATATCACTTCTAACCACCGCTGTTATCACATCATGTGATTTTTTTTTTTTTTTTGAATATTTGACATCGTTTTTTTATTTTAGTTTTTGTTCATATTTAGTTTGGCATCTGGTTTTAACATCATTAAAATTTCTTTCTTTACAGCTTTTCCATAGGACACTTCTTTCTTTCTTTTTTTTTTATTTAATTCATTCTTTCTTTCTTTTTTTTCAAGATTTTAAATTCTTCGCGCATTTGTTTCATAATTTCTTTCTTTAAATTTTTTTCTGATGATGTTTAAAAAATTCGTTTTAATTTTTCCTTCCGTTCTTTCTTTCTTAATCTTTCATTCTTTCTTTCTTTCTTCTTCAAGGTTTTTTCTTCTCACGGTTTTTTATAATTTCTATCTTTAAATTGATTTTTATGATCTTGCACTCTTCCTTCCTTCCTTCCTTCCTTCCTTCCTTCCTTCCTTCCTTCCTTCCTTCCTTCCTTCTCTTCCTCCCTCCCTCCCTTCCTTCATTCCTTCCTTCCTTCCTTTCTTCATTAAATATTTTCTTCCTTCTTTCTAATTTCTGCTTTCTATTCCCATACTTTTATTTTTCTTCTCTATCCTTTCCATCTTTTTACATTTGTTCTTTCTTTATCGAATTCCAGCCGCGCTCAACACGCGAAACTAGGAAGACATCCGAAAACACCAGAAAAACACATCTTATGCAAAACATAAGGAGAAATTACAAACAACCCAAAACAGCCCGCTCTTGAAAATGGCGAGAGGAGTTTCCAAAATCGCTTGGGACAATGGAGAATACGGCCAATTTTCCCATTCACATACTCCGACCAAATGGAAATATGTATGAATGCTGGAAAAATTACATAAATTTATATTCATTTAGTCTTTTCTGTAATGAATCCAAGGAAAATCCTCATCCAGTCCTTCAGAATGGGTTGAAAGTAAAAGATTTTTGTTTTTGCCGACAATATGTATTTAAACGGTTGCTGCTCTTTATTGTCACGATGCTGAGACAGGATCCGTGGAACCACAAACTATGGAGCGAGGTCCGCTCGTGCGCCTGGCCACGAAGAACCCAACGATGACCTTTTTTATATATATATATATATATATATATATATATATTTATTTTATGAAAAACTCGGTAATCCGTATGGGTAAACCTAAGGAGGAAAAAATCCAGAAAACTCAAATGTAACTTCTGAGCAAATGATTTAAATAAAACCAGACCACTTTAAGGTTCCATGTAATAAATTATTTCACCACAGCCCTTTTAAAATGACTGCGGATCATCAGACTTTACTTCCAAACAAAAAATGAAAAGAAAATTTACACATTTTTGACGGGCCGTATTAAACATCTATCTATCTATCTATCTATCTATCTATCTATATATATATATATATATATATATATATATATATATATATATATGGACCGTTTACCTTGTTTTAGTGTAAGGAATCCACCCCCCAAAGTTGTTAAATATTTTTGAAAACACCCTACACGTATATATATATATATATATATATATATATATATATATATATATATATATATATATATATATTTCATTCACGGACATTCTCATCTATGTGGTTTGACGTCCTGTTGCCTCTGGTTAGGATATATACATATATATATATATATATATATATATATATATATATATATATATATATAATATATATATATATATATATATATATGTGTGTGTGTGTGTGTGTGTGTGTGTGTGTGTGTGTGTCATTGGCAGACAGTACTATTTCGCTGTAACACATCTCTTCGGTGTGACTAGGCATTCGAATGCCTAAATCCAGGATTGAAACCCGACCGATTTGGTGTCAGTCAAAGTTTCTACCACTTCAATTCGACAGAATGAAGACGCTAAAGCTAGCGTATTGTTTTTACGAATGTAAACAAATGCCAATCAGCCGGAGTGCTCCGTCCATTTTACTGAAGAGCTTCGCATTAACGCAGGTGGCTGTTGTTTATAGAATTAGCTTGTCATTCAACCGTGCTCAATCGAAATATATTTTCAAGAGCTAAATTATGTCATTCACAGACAGTAGTGTTTCGCTGTATCACAGCTCTTCAGTGATATATATATATATATATATATATATATATATATATATATATATATATATATATATATATATATATATATATATATATATATATATATATATATATATATATATATATATATATATATATATATATATATATATATATATGTATATATATATATATATATATATATATATATATATATATATATATATATATATATATATATAAATGTAAGTTTGTCACGTGACTATAATTGTGTTACTGTAGAGAGTTACAAACTCAGTATATTATCATAAACCTGGTTGACTCGCTTTTTATATAATTTCTACCTGGATATATATGCTTGGGTATGTAAATATCGGAGAAGTACATGGCAAAGTTATATAAAAAAAAAACTGACAAAAATTTATTTTAACTTCCTAATGTATGTTTTCCAATCCCCAGATATCAGGACACTGTAATTCTTTTGCACACAAATCTCTTAAAAAAGCAAATGTAAAAAAAAAAAAAAAAAATAAATAAATAAACGAACAAAATTTATCAAATAATATTGGCTTTTTCTTGAATCGGAATTATTAAACAAATATTCCAATGACTAATCTTTTTTTTTTTATTTTATTTTTTATTTTTATTTTTTCCGTTTCATTTCTCAGCGGACATTTATTATTAAAAATTTGCTGGAGAACGCGGGTTATTTTACAAGAGTTCCATTTTATTTCTAACTTATGTTTTTGCGAGTTTAATCTTTCGTTCATTCCTTCGCCGCATCACGTTCGGTTGGTTTTCGCTAAGCGACGTGAGGCGCAGGATCATCACCCGAGTAGACATCTTACAATCGACGATATACGAAGGAACGGAGGAGACACGGGTGGAGGCAAGAAAGGAAGACCAGTCGGGCGAGGTTGACATGCAGGGTTGAAGCAGAAAACGAAGAAAAATGGTAGGTCAAGAAAATGAAGGATGTAAAAAGGCGGAAAATGAGGCGAGAAATACTTAAATGTGAAAAGAAGTGGAAAACAGTTAAAGAGAGTAAAAGATGGCGACGAATCAAAGATATAATTTATTAGGAAAGCAGAAGATTGTTTTTATTTTGAGATTATTATTATTATCTGCCTGTGATGATTTGAATATTAAGCAACTCTATCTCCTATCTGCTGTGTCTCTACATGACGTAGGCAATCATGGCGCCCCAAAATCTCCTGTCTCTTGTAGCACTTAATTTGTATGTTATACTTTGTTTCGCCACCCATTCACTTAAGCTCACTAAGTTTTCCTTCGTATTCCTGTGTTCTCTTTGCCTTCAATCTGTCTTGTGAGTATCAGATTTTCCAGTCTCATTATATGCACTAGAAATATAAACTGTCTCCTCCTGATGTTAAGTATAAGTTTCCTTCTTGTTTCCATTTTCTCTATAACTTCGTCGTTGCTTCGGTCCATAGTATCCTCAGTGTCCTTCTGTAGAGCAATATTTCTGCCGCGTCAAGTCGCCTTTTCATCCACGAGGAGATTGTCCAGCATTCACTGCTATGATGGGCGTGTAATATCGTTAGTCTTATAGTGTTAACTATAAAAAGTAAGGGTGGTAGCATCTGCTAGGGTCCCGGCTATTGGCAAATAGTTGACCACCAAAATGGGGCCGAAAACACTATGAAGGTATAAATATAGATTTTTATACCAGCAATACATTTCTGGAAAAAAAATACTATCAATACATTTGACTCTCGACAAAATCCCCTTTTACAAATATACGTCAATGAAACCTGACCTACAAACTGATTTCTTACAAAGAATGCATATTCTATTCATACGAACCTATCCTAAAAATCTTGACGGCATTAAATAACACATTGATGTATTGAGATGCCGTAAAATAAAATAAACCAAACCAAACTATGAAAAGGAAGCGAAAATAATTGCTTCGGCCATTTTGTATTTGATAGTTATTTTGATTCTATTAGTGGTGATCAGTCTATAACGTAAATGAATATTTATATAAATATTGATCTCCACATTATGAAATTGTACTTTATATATACGATTGTTCTCTTCTCCTCGTATTAAACTAATAATTCTCCTCTCTCGATTTTCAAGGCACTCCCATAGTAAAATATTCTTCAGTGGATTTTTATAGGCAAACGTTAGCGAGGCTTTTCACTCTACATAGAAGAGCGATAATCAAACAATAACATTCTTCCTGGCATTTGATGAATTCCTACTGCAAAATCATTAGTAATTCATTTACGTTATACATCTAATAATCCTATTATGTCAGAAAAGCTTACATTAATTTCAAGCCATAAAATATCATTCTTCGATGAATTACATTCAAAGAGTTTCTTCCCAACTGGATTCTCCACTTGGATCACAAAAGAAATATATGGTCTAACGTCATCTAATCTATAGTAACATCATTTGTAATTAATTTAAATTATATATATTGTACACTTATTTTGTTTGTAAAATTGCATTAATTCCTGACCAATGATAGTCCCTTTCTACCTTATTCTTAATACGTTTTTATTGTAACAGTTTCAAGGTTTTAGTGGTTTCACAGCATAGTTGAAAGATAATCTACAGGTTGGTTGTGCAGGAGGTGAATAAAAATGCAAAAATATTCCTGTGCATGCAGCTTCAACAGAGTGATTACCCTCTCGTAGATTTCATAGTCAAACTAAACTGAAGGATACGTACTTTTATTCCTTGGCTATGATTCTGATATTCAATGCTCCGATTACAGACCAATTGTCAAAATATTATAAATAAAATTCTGTGATACTAACACGTTAATTATGAGTGAACACACCGAATTTTCCTAATAAGTTAATTTAACTTATTACTGTTCATCGTCATATAATTAGTCAAATTTAGTATAACTAGTCATTTCGCTCATACAAAAAAAATAGAAAGGGCGTAAAACAAGGATGCGACTTCTCACCAGACTTATTTAAAATATACAATGACGTAATCCTGACAGGATCATTATTTGCATAAGTTATATATATTTCGTTACATGGATAATCCCGAAGAGTTCCTAAAACTGAATATCCAGGTAAAACTCCGAGTAGGGAGCTCAGTGTATGAGAATAATAACAAAGCATAGAGAGGAATCTAATTAAGAAAAAATTCAAAGAAAAACTTTACACTTGAATTTTTCAGTTATAAACTATATATATATATATATATTATATTATATATATTATATTATTATTATATATATTATATTATATTATTCAGTTATAAACTATATATATATATATATATATATATATATATATATATATATATATATATGTAGAAAAATAGGAAAGAACACGTTAGGTAAATAATCAGGAGTTCTTTAGTATTTTTGTTTTTATTTTTAAAAAATAGTGCTCCATACAGAAGAAGAGCTTAAATTAAAATTATTTAAAAAAAAATATGATTCCTTCGCTACAAAAGAGTTCTCATGTTTAAAAAACGAGAGACGATTCCTAAATTCTCGCTTGAAGATGAAACAGGGCTTGATACTTTAATTTAAATTAATTCTAATAATTATATTGAGGTTTTCGGCTCTCGTTTTTGAAACATGAGAAATTTAATGTAGTGAAGGAATCATATTTTTTAAAATAATTATTATATATATATATATATATATATATATATATATATATATATATAATAATCCTTTGGTTACGTAGATAATCCCGAATAGTCCCTAAAACTGAATATCCAGGTAAAAATCCGATTAGGGAGCTCAGTGTATGAGAATAATAACAAATCATACAGAACAATCTATTTAAGAAAAATTTAAAAAAAAAAAAAACTTACATTTGAATTTTTTCAGTTTTATTTATATATATATATATATATATATATATATATATATATATATATATAAAAAATTCAAATATATATATATATACCGGGTGTAACAGCAACATTGTACAAATCTTGTAACAGCATAATTTACCATCCCACAAATTGTTAAATATCTACAAAAACAATAAATTAATTCAGTTTCTTTTTTTAGTGGTTTCCAGATAAGACGTTTAGCCATCTTGGCATCATTTGTCGTAAGAATTACTGAAAGGCCATTTAAGTACGCCAGAAAGAGAGCAGTTTAAAATCGTTTTGTGCCAGCCCCACTGACTTTCCAGATGAGCAATGGTGAGAGAAAAAAATCATCCAGGCTTTCACTAATGGTATTAAAATTCATACATCTTCCCGGACTCTCAAGGGGACGGTGAATAAATTTCAAAAAGTGCGAAAATTTGGAAGGAAAACTAGATCAGGAGGTCAAAACGGGAAGATGGATCATCATTTCTACTTAGTGCTAAAGAGTATCAGCTATGACAGTTCAAAAAGCACTGAAAAAAGACTTGAAAATAAAATTGAACGTGAAATGTGTGAGGCACATTGTTACTCCAGGACAGAAAGAAGGTAGAGAGGGCGAAGATCATCTTGAATAAGTTGGAAAATGATCATGGAATAATATATATATATATATATATATATATATATATATATATATATATATATATATATATATATATATAAATGATAGTTATATATATATATATATATATAATTGAAAACCAAACCGAGAAATTCATTATTTACAAAAAAAAAAAAAAAAAAATGATAAAAAAATCCGCCATTGTATTTACAGAAACGCGGTTTCGGAGAGATTATTTTTTCCACGAAATTTTATGTCTTACGTATTTTCATTTATTTTGTCTGCTCTATCAGGCCAACCGTCTCGATTGTGCATCAACGTCGGAAATTCATTAGGGAAGCATTCTGTGTCATAACATAGCTTACCAATGTAGACGGTTACTGGGCGACCAACAGGTCTTGCGCCATGGCTAGGTGTCAAGAACAATAGAGCACTCTCAAGTCCTTGTTTTGCTCGCCAGCAATACGCAGCAAAGCACATTCTGCGTTCACGTATGATTGTAGAAATAGCAGGGATGGGTTCATAAGGCTGTGATTTAGTTGGATGTTGTCTTTAAGAGATGTTACGTATATATCTCAGCACCCGAGTGTAGGTTTCATTAAGCTCATGATCAAACATACTCGACATTCATTGTCTATTATATTTAATAATATATGTTTAAATAATGATCTGCTGCTCAATACAATATATATATATATATATATATATATATATATATATATATATATATATGAAAATAAGTTTCAAAACATCTTGAAAGAGGATGTTTTACCAACACACGTATTGACTAAAATTAACGATACGAAACAAATGAAAACTACAAATAAAGTTCATTTTCTTCAGAAACAGTCATTCCCACCTGTAGGGAATTTTTCTCCTGATGATGGCCTTATTGGCCGAAACTGGTCGAGGAACCTAATTGAAATAATAATACAAAATATATTAATATACAACCCAGTGTGTCTGAAAATTCTAATTTTTTAATGTTTCATTGTTCACCCCCCCCCACATATATATATATATATATATATTCGATGATAAATTATAAAAAACCGTCCGAATGTTCTTTTTTATGCAGCGCTTTCGACTATAGTTGAAATATTTTAACTGTTAACTTGAAAATGGCTAAATGTATAGCCGAAAGCGGTCGGAAAAAAGAACATTAAGACAGTTTTTATATAATTTATCATCTGAAAAGTAAAATATATTACATAACATGAGAAATTGTATAAAAAAACTAAATCAAAGCACCGTGTGTTTTATTCAATGAAATGTGCATGAAAAAAGGATTGCTGCCTAAATACACACACACACACACACACACACACACACACACACACACACACACACACACACACATATATATATATATATATATATATATATATATAGGTCAGGTTTGCTAGGTAAATTAATTGTAAATTAATCTTCACTACGGAAACCAAATTAAAATTGAAGTGATGAGAAGTAACTAAATACATAATTACAATTCATACTTAAAATAGTAAGAATTATTTTAACACGGCACAAAAAATAATCAAGCAAAAATAGGCTTTAAATAAAATGATTATTGTTTTTAATTTTAAACTGAAATTATTTAAAATGTTATCTGAATATTCTTTGTCATGTTCTATAAACATTGGAGATGCGGGTGGCTTGAGTAGAGAGATCAATTTACAACGAAGTTATATTTAGAAATTAAAAGCAAAAAAAAAACTTTCGATATTTGTGATCTGAAATACTTAGTAATATAAAAACAAAAATGAAAAAAATGATTAATTGTTGGATAGATGCGTTTCTGGATATCGGCAATTTGTATTTCCATGAGATGATTATTAAAATAATTTCGACAACAGTATTGTAGTATTACATTATGATATAATGGTTCACGAGATATCTGTGGGACAAGTTCAATCATTATTGTATAAATACCCTTGGAAAAGGTATGAACCAAATTCTCCCTACTCGCTACAGGAATAGCAGCGCAAATCGCGCGCTCTAGCCGTGGTTGGCAACCCGTCTAGGAGAAAAGAGAATTCAGAATTCAAACCGGTTATGTAACCTCGGTTATCGACAAGATCATGTAGTTCATTTACCAGTATCAACATAAGGATTACAGTAGACGATGCATTACTTTTGGGATTAAAGAGGACAATTTTCATTTGTCTCTTGTGTTTTTGATATTATTATACTTGGATAATTTTTCCCTCTTCGTACGCCTCAAAAAAGTACCTGACTGTTTTAGCCAAGCCTCTCGCAGATCTATAGCGGATATCCAGGCGAGGTCTATTCATATAGCCCCTATTAGATTTGACCCGTGATACCACCTAAGCAGGGTAGAATCATCTTTATTGCTTTTGTAATTTCAATTTCTTCTCTAGAAAGTCTTTCTTTGTGGAACTAATTCCCGTGATGATGCTTTCATCGATCAATTCGATCTTAACCTCTTTAACCTGTGAGATATTCTACATATTCCCATAATATCTATTTCTTATTTCCTTATTTTAAAACCGTCAACGACCTTGTGTCGTGGCATTCTACCTTGAGTGACTCTTGGGCCTTGTGTTGGCTAAAAATTTAGTAAAAAAATAAAGAGGATTTTTTTTTGTAAGTTCTAAATGATTTCCAAATTCAAAAGAAGATAATTCTTGCTTTTAAAGACAAAAACTAACAATCCTGAATTTTTCGTTTAATTTTTCTCTTCCAATTTTAAATTTCTATTGTTTCTCCTATTTGGCATTTAATAATGCTTTGGACAACTTCTCGGGATTTCATGAAGAGAACACAAGACAAATGGCTTTGTCCAGGGCCAAGTAACACAACTTTCAGGAGTCCCTATTGGCAAGAGTAAAGAGGAGAAAGCTGTTGTAGCTTAGATATGTCATATGACACAATACTCTAGTCTAGATGTTCCTTCAAGGTACCTTGGAATGGGGTAGACGTAGACAGTCCATAATCTGGATGGACAACAATGAAAGAATGGATTGCGATGGACACACCGACGCTTGTTTCGGACGGCAGAAAATATATTTGATTGGCAGAGGCTGGTTGCATCATTGTCGCTCATGGCTCATCTATGATCGGCTCGGTCATGAGAAAAGAAAGAAACAAACAAAATAAGAATGATATGTATGTATATGGTTGATTCTCTTTACATCAGAAGACCCCTAACCCTGCAATGGGCGTGTCTTATGAAAGACGGGGCCAATGGTTTCTTCAGGCTGGTTTTGAATTTAGAGTTTTCCTCCGCCGAGATGGATTGCCTTATCAACGTTTTAGTCATTTATGTACCATATGTGGTACAAGTTTAGGCGATCATGTATCTTTCGATATATGTCTGACGAGGCCGATTTTTTTCTTTCTGCGGTAGAGCAGTTGCCATCCGAGACTAAAGAATCCGGTCTATCCTGCTATTTACCCACACCTGGGGAATAAGAGGATTCATACTTTTCGCTATGGTATTAGCACGTAAGTGAATGTAATGGATTAGATTGGAATTCGAACTCGGCCCTCCGATTCCTCAATCCGAGTCGCTATCCATTACTCCACTGTGCTCTTTAACCTATAGCTGGAGAAATTTTGATCCATACCTATTCCAAGGAACAATGGCGCAAAATGAAAACAACAGTATCAACCGGAAATTGAACTCGGCTCGGCGAATTCTCTTTCTACGATGATAAACGCGACACTACCCGCATATCCCCAAATAATCCCATGAATTTATTTATTTTTTATGTAAGATGCATTTTAAATCCACTTTACTAGTTTATTCGAAATTCAGGTTGGATCTCTGAGAAAATTCTCTACAAAATAACGGAGAGAAAATTTCATGAGTATTTGAAAAGGGGGAAGAGAAATGAACAAAAAGTGAAGAAGAAAGGGTAAAAACTGAAAGGTGAAGAAGAAACAGAGGGGAAAAAAACGAATAAACGTGCAGTAAGGTGAAAATAATGAAAGAGGGTAAAAAAAAATATGGGAGGAAGAAAAAATAAGAAAGAACGAAAGAAAGAAAGAAAATTCCCGAAGAAGCAAAAGAAAGAGACAGAAAGAGGCGTATATTATAAAAAAAATATGAAGAAAGCAAGAAAGAAAGAAAAAGAAAGAAAGAAAGTGTTGTAACCTAGCAAAGGTTACTGAATGAGGAATAACCAAAACGGAGGTGGGAAATGAAATGGTAATCTTTGTAGCAACAACAAAATACAATACCCGCCAGCGGCGTGAAGTAGGTAAACCACTGATAGTGGTGGACTAATTAAACTGCATATTACCCTCACTAACAATAGTGTCCAACATATTTATGAAGCTTGGGACATACCCATTAGTGTTCATAAGTACGGTATATTGAAAAGGTAACAGAAAGAAAGAAAAAAAGAAAGAAAAATTATGTAAAAAAGTTGGGGAGATAAAAGTATATGTGAGAGGGAAAAATAAGAAAGAAAGAAAGAAAGAAGGAAAGAAAGAAAGAAAGAAAGAAAGAAAGAAGAGGAAGCCACAAAAGCATATTTTATCAAGAAAATATTAAGAAAGAAAGAAAGAAAGAAAGAAAGAAAGAAAGAAAGAAAGAAAGAAAGAAAGACAAGAAAATTGCTGTAAAAATTTAGGGAGGTAAAAGTATATGTGAGAAAAATAATAAGAAAGAAAGAAAGAAAGAAAGAAAGAAAGAAAGAAAGACAAGAGAATGTTGTAACATGAAAAAGAATGGTGGAGAAAACGAAGTTACCAATTTGATAACGGTAAAGAAAAAAAGAAAGAAAAGAAAAGAAAAGAAAAGAAAGAAAGAAAAAGAAAGAAAGAATTTAATTAAAAAATCAGGGAAGGTAAAAGTCAATACAAAAAGTAAAAATGATAAGAGTGAAATAAATAAAAAAGAAAGAAAGAAAGAAGGAAAGAAAGAGAATGCTGTTAAGTGAAAAGGAAAGAGTGAGAAATAGAAGTGGTCAATTTGATAAATACAAATGCCAAGAAAGAAAGAAAAAATGAACGAAATAAATAAAGAAAGAAACAAATAATAGGATTAATTTTAAAAGGTAACGGAAAATGAGAAGAATGAGTCGCAAAAATCAAGAAGAATACAACGAAAGATTTAGAAAATTAAGAAAAGAAATGGAAAAATAAAAAGATAGGTAAGGAGATATATAATGACAGGTCGATAATGCGTCAGTTAAAAGAAGAAAAAAGGAAAGAAAGGAAACGAAAGAGGAAGAAAGTAAAAAGTAAAACCTACAAAGACAAAGAAAAAGAAAGGAAAGATATAAAGGAGACAAAGTAAAAGAATGAGAAATAAGAAAAGGGAAATAGAAAAAAAGATTGTGGAATAAGAAAAAAAACGAGGAAGAAATTAATAAAGACATTAGAAGAATGAAAAGAGTAAGTTTAAAAAGAAGGAGAGAGGACGAACTCGGCGAGCCAGAAGGGAGAAATTACGCACAATGTGAACGTTATGGCCGACATAGGTCAAACGAGGTTGGCAGAAGTGTAAAGCTGTACCGCCTTTCTGTTCATTTGACTCAACGATTGTCCAGTAAGAAGCAACACTGGGCAAAAGAACGGAATTAATCTAGATAAATCGGCCAAAGGTTGACCAGTGGCCACAAATGGAAAATGCCAAAACTGTTAACAATAGAGGCACGGCCGGCACGTTTAGTTGAGTTAATACTTAGCAGGCTAGTCTAGTCGGGTTGACAATTACTAATGAGTTGTAAATTCGATTCTCACTGGGTGTCCCCGAATGTTGGTCGAGTGTAAAACTAAGATAAACTTATTAAATAACAGTAGAAGCTCGACTATGGCTATTGTAATCACGAAGACGGAGACACCAGGCATCAATACCTAAAAGCAGAGGCGACTACACAGCCGATTGACCACAGCTATAACAAAGACGAGAATCAAACCCACAAATAATATACTACGACTGCTACTATGACAGAGACGAAGGCAGAGCCCATTGTTGCGACAAATACTATGACAACGACGAGAATCTAGCCCACAACTTATATATATACAGATGCTACTATGGCAGAGACGAAGGCACAGCCCATTGTTTGGAAAAAATGCTATGACAATAAAGAGGATCTAAACTACGGCTATTATATTTATGACTGCTGCTATGAGAGAGACTAGAATATAGCCTATTGTCGTGCCTAATACTATTATAATAAAGAGGATCTAAACTACGGCTATTATATTTATGACTGCTGTTATGACAGAGACTAGGATATAACCTATTGTCGTGCCGAACAGTATGACAATGTAGAAGATCAAGATCAAAACTATTATATCTACAACTGCTACTATGGCATAGACGAAGGCAGAGTACATTGTTACGACAAATTCTATGACAATAACGAGAATCTATATCAAAGCTATTATATCTAAGATCGTTACTATGACAGAGACTAGAACACAGCCCATTGTTCTGACCAGTACTATGACAATGTGAGGACCAAACCCACAGCTAATATATCTACGACTGCTACTATGGCAGAAACGAAGTCACAGCCCATTGTTTTGAAAAATACTATGAGACTAATGAGAATCTAGACCACGGCTATTATATTTATGACTGCTACAATGACAGAGACGAGAAAACAGCCTATTATTGTTCCCCAAACTATGACAATGCTGAGTATCAAGCTCACAACTATGATATCTATGATTGCTTCTATGACAGAGACGAGAATATAGCCCACTGTTTTGACTAATAATGATGACGATCAACTCACAGCTATTATATCTAACTTTTTCGTCCATTGGGGTAGATTGTTCTGTTTCCACGTGCCATGTCTCTCCCGGATGTCTCAGTTATCTCCCTTTCGCTCAACTCTCAACGTTTTGTTCACCACAGCAGTAGCCAGGTATTGAACTCACAACTCTCTGGGTCGAGTCACTGGATCCAGACAACTCTTTTATCCACTGCGCCATGTGTCCTTGGAGAGTTGCGTTAAAGGGAGATGTCTGAGACACCCGGAAAAGGCATGACACGTGGAACTAGAACAGACGACGAAATAAAGGGTTTAGTTCGAAATTCCAATCACCTGAAGAGGGCAGGAATGCACATTGACAGAATCGTCGTGAATATGGCAATGAGGACAACAGTCCGACAATGTAATTAATGTAAAATAATTACAATACCTCATCTTAGAAATATAGACAAAAAATATAACTGGATAATTAAGTAACAACAGAATTCGCCTCACAGAAAGCTGAAGGCACATTAGAATAGCAAAAGATGTCTTCCCGAAACTAAGTGTAGTATAAAGACACATAATATATAAGAAAATGTGAGTAGAAATAAAAAAATAAAAAATACTGAACTGCTGTGAAACTTTTAATCTCTTATATAGCAGTGAATGTTTGACAATCTCCTTACGGATGAAAGGAGGTTGGGGGGCGAATGTGATATGGCGCTACAGAAGGATGCTGAGAATACTATAGACTGAATATGCGAGCAACGAAGAAGTTTTAAGAAAAATAGAACCAAAAAACAATGAAAGCAAGAAGAGACTTAAATAGAAAGAAACGAAGTTATATTGACGAATGTTGAGTATGTGTGAAACGAGGTAACATGGGAAATATATAAAAATTGTTTTGAAAAAATAGAAAGAGACTGCTGAAATCTGGGCGCATATAAGGAGGAAAGAAGGTTTGTAGAATTTAACACTCACAGTGTACATTGAGGAGAAGAATCAGAAAACATTGAAACAATGGATGGCGTAATAAGAAACATAAAATCAAAGACGGATCAGAAAAGTGCACGAATAGCTTAAAGTAACACAGGAAAGGATGTTGTAGAGAGCCATGACTGCTGTCATTTTGAAGGAATATAACACAGAGACAGACTGACAGATAGACAAATAGATAGATAGATAGATCATACCTTATCAGTAGCACTTGAAAAATTCCGGCGATAATTATTAGCTTGCAAACATACAAACGCACACACACACACACACACTCATATATATATATATATATATATATATATATATATATATATATATATATATCAAATCAAAAAAACAGACCACTTTAAGGTGCCATGTAATAAATTATTTCACCACAGCCCTTGGGTCTACCCATACGGATTACCTAGTTTTCATAAACTAACTAACTATATATATATATATATATATATATATATATATATATATATATATATGTGTGTGTGTGTGTGTGTGTGTGTGTGTGTGTGTGTGTGTGTAACCTAAAGTTAACTGCCACTAAAATAAAAGAAATATACGAACCTGTGGTAAGTTTTAAAGGAGAACGAGAAAAATATAATGTCCCTGGAAATAAAGAGGCTATTTAAAGAAAGCATCTTTTAATAATAATAAAAAAAAATAATAATGTAAACAATTCTACGCTCTCAAAACATTTTTAGGGAAAAACAAAATATAGTAGAGGCGAACAAATTAGAATCTGAAAAAAAAATTGAGATAGATATGAAAAGTATTAAGATATATTTCAGCCTATTCAGGTTCACATATATTCGTAAATATGTCAAGACTGAGAGAGAGATAAAACTTGTAGATATGAACACCCTTGAATAAACAGATATGAAAAGACTGGTATGAATAGATGTGAAAAGGCTGAAACATATACGCCAATATGAAAAGTTTGAGGTATGTTTATCGATATGGTCTGAGGTATTAAGTGAGTGAGATTATATAGATATGAACAGATTGGAATAGCTATACAGATAGAAAAATCTTGTTATAGATAGATAGATAGATAGATAGATAGATAGATAGATAGATAGATAGATAGATAGATAGGAAAAGGCAGACATTGAAAGATTTGAAAAGATTGGGATAGATAGATAGATAGATAGATAGATAGGAAAACGCGAACAATGTTAACTTTCAATTTGTTCAAATACGTTGTTACATTGACAGTAAATGCATAATGAATTCAAGGGAGATAACAGTGTGTGCATTCATCTTCGAAATTGGTTTGGTTTGGTTTGTTTTACGGCATATCAGCCTCAAAGGATTATTTAATACCGACAAAGTTTTTATTGCTGGTAATGTTTTTCTTCAAAAATCTATTTCTGCGAATATTTTTCCTTGAAGAAATCTATAGCAGGTCATATGTTTTCCAAAGTATGTATAGCTGTTTTTATTGCTGGTATTTTTGAAAAAGTATTGCTGATAATGATTTTTCCTTAAAAAATTATTGCTGGTAATAATTTTTTATTACAAAGTATTTCTGGTATTAAAACTTATTTTTACACAAGTTTGGGTGTTAACTATTCGCCCATAGCTGGGACCCTAGCAGGTGCTACCACCCGGGGTCGGGTGGACCTGGGAACACCAGCAATTAAGACGTGGTTCTACGCTTCTCAAAACATTCTGATCATAAGCCTTGCTGCTGGATGTAGTTTATCGTCTTACCCAGGACGCGGATGTAGTTTATCGTTATACCCAGGGCGCGGATGTAGTTTAACGTCTTACCCAGGACGCGGATGTAGTTTATCGTCTTACCCAGGACGCGGATGTAGTTTATCGTTATACCCAGGGCGTGGATGTAGTTTATCGTTATACCCAGGGCGTGGATGTAGTTTATCGTCTTACGCAGGACGCGGATGTAGTTTATCGTTATACCCACGACGGTTGTAAATTGGTGATTTTCTATTAAAATTAAAAAACAAAAACAAAAAAAACACGAAAAGGTGGTTCATACTTCTCTATAGATATTGTTACGCGAAGAAAACATATGCATATACTTTTCTGCATATATGACCTGTACGCAATTGGCTGCCGGTCACATCACGTTGAAAGATCTGTTTTCGTGTGATCATCTAAGTTTGCAACGTCTTGCCTGGTTAGTATCTAAATGGGTGACCGCCAGGGAATATATGGTACTGTAAGTTGAACGCGCAAGTGGTCTAATGGATAAGGGCTCGTAATTGGCAATCGGAGAGACGAGGTCCGTTATATTTACTAACGCGCAACTGTCCTTTGAAAACTATGATACCCGTTTTCTACTCCGAGTCATGTATCAGTAAACTGAGTTAATGGAATGAATTTAACCGTTTTCTATTGAACGTTTTTCATTTTTGTAGTCGTACATGTTGGTATGTGAAGACTAGTAACTCTTTCAGGATAGGTGAGATTTGAAATTGTTGAGGGGTCCTCCCCTTTTTATACAAATGGACTCACCCAGTATATACATATACTATTGCTACGTGAAGACCCGAGAGACGAGAGCAACCGAGGGTGAAGGTAACAGACAGACAGACCGAACGTAGCGATTAAGAGTCACAGTGAGCGAGCACTTAGACTCAGTAAGAAGTCATACAGCGATACTTCCATACCAAAGACTGTATATATATATTTTGCTACTAACCCGTATTCCTGGAACTACTAACCTGCATTACTAGTTTGCATTATTACGTTAATACATTATTTTCCTATATTCATTCTTGGCGTTTGTTATTTATTGCTATCGGATTTCATCCCGGAATCCACAACAGAAGATAAACCGGTGCGTAGATTTATAGCGGCACTCTCGGGGATTTTCTTTCTGGGAAAATTACTTTCTCTTTTGATAAGTGTCGCATTTATATATATATATATATATATATATATATATATATATATATATTTGTGCATTTAGGCAGCAATCCTTCTTTCATGCACATTTCATTGAATAAAACAGACAAGATTTAGTTTTTTATACAATTTCTCATGCGATCTAATATTTTTTTTTTCTTTTCAGATAATGAGTTATATAAAAACTGTCCGAATGTTCTTTTAATCACTTAAATCTTAAGAATATCAACTATGAACATGGACACAATATCTTGACCGTGATTTGAAAAATGAAAACATTACATAAATACATACATGAAAAAAAAAAAAAAATATTTCTCATTTAACAGTTAATATATTGAATTCTTGAAAATGGCTAAATGTTTAGCCGAAAGCGCTCGGATTAAAAGAAAATTCGGACAGTTTTTATATAATTTATCATCAGAAAAAAATATTAGATCGCATTAGAAATTATATAAAAACTAAATCAAAGCACTTTGTCTGTCACATTCAGTGAAATGTGCATATATATATATATATATATATATATATATATATATATATATTGCTTACCTCCAGTTATGAATGAATAGCATAAAAGCCTGTGTTGGATAGTCTTATTTGGAAACGTTTCAAATACGTTGCCCTGTAATGTTACATTAACACTAAATAGATAACAAATGCAAGGGAGGAAATAGATCGTGTATTCATCTTCTTAAATGATGATGTTCTATTAAAAAAAAATACTTATCTATGCATATTAGTATGTGAAGAAAACATATCGATATATTATTTGAACAGTATGCAATTGGCTTTCGGTCACATCATGTTGAAACACCTGTTCTCTAAGTTAGCAAAATCGTACCTGGTTAGTATCGAGATGGGTGACCGCTAAGAAATATCAGGTTCTGTAAGTTGGATGTGCAAGTAGTCTACTGGATAACGCCCCATATTTAGGAAATGGAGAGACAAGTTTCAATTCCAGTTGGGTTTGTTATATTCAATTACGCACAAATGCCCTTTAAAAATTATGAAACACAAACTTCTATCGTTAGCTATGTATCAGTAAAATCATTATTATCTCCAAAAAGAATCTTAGAATCTAAAAATATTTCTTGAATTAAATAAGATGCAAAAGATTGATAAACCGTAATAAACAGACAACGTGGTCATATACAGATAGAAAGCTAGAGCGGACATTAAGAATTATGAAAAGATTGCAATAGATAGATAGGAAGAAACAAACAGACATAAAATACATATGAATAACTTCAAGTAAAAACAGAGTGAAATATATAGATATCAGGTCATCCCATGAATTCTGTCCGAATTTTGAATAAAGAAAACCAAAAAAGTGACCAAATGTTACATTTAATTACAGATTCAATCAACAATGTATTTTCCCTGATTATCTGTGACTTCCTTCAATCTATTAACAAGCTTACTAATTACATTACTAATTCTTTTGCCTTTGATTCGAAGAACTCACAAATGTCAGTTTTAACCTCTTCCTGTGTTACAAAAGCTGTTTCTTTCAAATGATTCTGTAAGCTACGAAACAAATGGTATTCTGAAGGAGCAGGATCGGGAGAATAAGGTGGATGAGGAATTTTCTCCCAACCAAGTTCTTCGATATTTTGTGACGTGATTCTTGCTGTGTGGAGTCGCGTATTGTCCTGATGAAACATCACATCTTTTCGATTCATTAGAGCAGGTCTTTTTTCCTCAAAGCTTGGTTGAAACGCTCTAATTGCTGACAGCATATTTGAGCATTAGGTGGTAAGAATTCAAAGTGGATTATTCCTTGGCGAAGAAGAACCTTTTGCCCATGAAGTTCCCTTCTCAGCTGTGGCTGAGTCCTTCCCCTTTACCAAGCCATTGTCAACGACACTTAATATTTCGATAAAAGATCCATTTTTCGTCGCCAGTCACAAGTCTATTCAAAAAAGGTGAAACAAGTTGGCGAGAATAGAGAGAAGAGCAGATGTCAACTCAGGATTTGAGGTTGTTTTCAGGCAATTCATGAGACACCCATTTTTCAAGTTCAGGAACTTTTCCAAGTTGTTGAAGATGACGATGAACAGTTGTATGGTTTGAACTGAGAACCACTACCAATTCCTCAACTGATAAAGCAGGATTTTCTTCAAGGACTGCTTCAAGAAGCTTTTCATCAAACTCAACTGGACGTCCGGTTCGATCTTCGTCTTCAAGTGTGGGGATTTCATTCTTGAATTTTGCAAACATCTTCTGCAAGTTCTTTCATATATACATTCCTCTCCATAAACTGAGTGAATGTTTTCCTTTCTTGAACTCATAAAGCATTATGTACCTCAAATGATTCTTGGGTACTTCCATGTTAGCAGGGTTTTAATCAAACAAATTTTAATTTTATTGTTCTCTGAAATAAAATTTGATCAGTTTAAATGCATCTAAACAAAAATAATGTTCAGCTCCATTAGACATTATGAAATACCCTTTAAATTTCGTTCATTTTAACAAAAAGTTAAAATTCGGAAAGAACTTATGGGATGACCTAATAGATAGATAGATAGATAGATAGATATGAACTGAGATAGATATGAACAGACTGAGATAGATATGAACAGACTGAGATAGATAGATAGATAGATAGATAGATAGATATGGAAAAAGTACATAGATGAAAAAGAATATGAATAAAATTATCAAAACATATTTATATATATAAGAAAATGCTTAAATATACTTGTTGGTATGATAAGGCTGAGCTTCGAGTTCTGATCAAAATGTATCGGAACTGTTGCTATGGTAACAGAACTAATGTACACAGATTGAAGCCTCTTGGAATAGATTGACTTTTAGGTATGCAACGCTCACTTCCGTTGTTTATAGCATTTCTTGGAAGGAAAGTATGTAGAGTGTGGTCGTCTCATTACATCACAGAGGTTTCCATGTTTTTTGTAGCAGTTTTTCGCCAAAGACAACATTCTCCATGTCCGGCAACCACTATATTCCACAGATCCCACCCAATGCGACATTTTCCTCTACGAAAATCAAATCCCATTTGAAAGTAGCAAGATTTCTTGACACCGTGGAAATCCAAGTGAATGGGACGAGGCCGCTGCTCGCTAACCCCCCCACCAAAAAAAAGAAGAGTTTCAGGAATATTTCCCTCAACAGAAACGGCGCTGGATAAAGCGGGTGTCTTTAAAAGGGGACTACTTTGAAAGAGATCAAATGACGCATTGGTATGTGTTGTAGTTTTCTTTTAAAATACCAATTCCGGTCCTTTTTGATCAGGCCGTGTATATATTATAAAAGCTGAAATGGATTAAATATATTCGTTGATACGATAAATCTGAAGTAGAACGATATATATATATATATATATATATATATATATATATATATATATATATATATATATATAATAGTTTTATTATAATAAATTTCAACAAAAACATTTTACATCGCTACACAAAAACTTTCATGTTTCAGTACTAAGATCAAATTTTTACCTTTTTTCATTCATTGAAATATGGTTCACTAGTAACGTTGAATGACATGTTTAAGCATCAGTTTTCTTGCCATGTAATAATAACCCCCCCCCAACCCTCTAATTTTATTTCTATACTTTAGTGTAGTAATCTAGGATCGCCTGAAGAAGTAACATCTTAGTAGTGAAATATTAATTTTTTTGTGTAGCGATGTAAAACGTTTTTATTGTAACTTATTATATTAAAAATATTATAGAAAATATATTGCGCTCTTTTTAATTGAGCACTTGTTAAAAAATAAATGCTGAAATGTGCCTGTCCTTTTCTCTCTCTCCATCTCACTCTCTCTCCATCTCTCTCTCTCTCTCTTATATATATATATATATATATATATATATATATATATATATATATATATAAAGTTTATGAAAAACTAAGTAATCCGTATGGGTAAACCTAAGCAGGATAAAATCCAGAGAGCTCAATGTAAATTCAGAGCAAATAATTTAAATAAAAACAGACCATTTTAAGATTCCATG